ACCCCACTGCTGCACTGACCCCACTGCTGCACTGATCTCACTGCTGCACTAACCCCACTGCTGCACTGATCTCACTGCTGCACTAACCCCACTGCTGCACTGATCTCACTGCTGCACTGACCCCACTGCTGCACTGATCCCACTGCTGTACTGATCTCACTGCTGTACTGATCCTAGAGGATACCCTCATACTGTCCCCTTGAACAGGGTCATTACTGTAACTGTCTCAGCAGAGACAGCCTGCTGCTGTACCTGTAACCAGGATAACTAGTTGTCTTGATAGAGATACCTTCTTACTACCGCCTTGACCACGGCACTTGACTCAGTAGAAGTTTCCAGGCTTCTAGCTGAATATGGCATGACATTAAAACCTCTGACAGACTGTCAGGGTTCCCCCAAACCCAAATGGATGGGGGTTGGTCTGAGTCTCTGCTCCAAGGGCTCCAGGCCCCCGGAACCCAAGCCAGGACCCCACAGAGCTGCTCAGGTGAACATGAAATGGCGCCGGGCCAGCCTGAAGAATCACACACACACTCACACACACTCACACACACGTACCCGCTCCTCTCGGCTGGCCAGAATATCTCCCTGACCTCTGGCAGACTGACAACAGTTCGCGACAAGGTCTAACATCCAATGGCTCATAGAGCTGAGCTTAGAAATGGACCCCCCCCCATCTCTACTAACGAACAAAAACCTTCCCTGCCTCTTACTCACACGCACGAGGTAAATTCTGCTGTTTAACGGAAACACTAGTGCTTTGCAAAGAGGGGATTCCATTCAAGGACACAATGTTGCGGTGTGTAGACAGACAGATTCCAGTGCTCTGCAGCTGGCCTGACACTGTATACTGGTTTTTATTTAAGAGCCAGTAAAGAGTCCTGCAGCCAGTCAGTAGTTCAGTAAATCTCAAAAGAAAAACGTCAAATGAGCTGAGAACTTGCTGGTTCATTATTGCGTCCGTTGACAGGGCAGGGGATACAATGGCCTGCAGAAAGTTCTAGTAGAAAACTAAAGTGGCTGTTGGGGGTGGAGTTTTGATAATTCAGAAACAGTACCCCCCCCCCCCCCCCTAACCCGCCAAAAAGAGCCTGTCCACCATGCAGCTACCCTCAGAACCATCTGGAACAGCAGCTTCAGTCCGACCTGTAGAGGCAAGTCAGAGCAGAAGTTCATTTCCACCCTGCAGTTCCTGAGACCCTCCAACCTGGAAGAGGATCTACAAGCATTTCACCAGCTGGCAGGCCACCGTCTGTGTGGTTGCTTTCGCCCCCCCCCCCCATATTCTCCTTCTCCACAATCAGGAGATCAAAGTGGAACAGCCGTTCTGGGCATTCGGGTCTGGACCGGGCCCAGAGCACTGCACATTCGGGTCTGGACCGGGCCCAGAGTACTGCACATTCGGGTCTGGACCGGGCCCAGAGCACTGCACAGGCCTCCAGATGAGGCAGATGACACTCCCCAACGCGGATTTGAATGAGGAGCCTGAAATCTGTGCCTTTATTTGGGTACGGGGGGGCAGTATAAAAGACAGATCTGTGTTTCTGTCACATCAGATCTGATTATCACTTTACTGCTCAGGGGACAGTTTCATCCAGATTATAATACCCTTTCATTCCACTCATCACTGGAGTGATTATCGGTTATGATCCCCGCTGAGGGCCATGACAGGTCTCTCCATTCAGACCCTCGGCAGTTTCACATACAAACGTGTGTTCTTAACCGTGTCGCCACCTGCTGGTCAGGGCTTGATCTTCACCAGCCCAACATATGGCAACCGAACTGAAGCACGTCCTCCAAGCGGGGAACAGCCTCCTGTCCTCCATTCATCCTGTGCACCTCCTCTATCTCAGCTTTTGTACCTCCCAAATAACCCCGATCACATTCTCCTCCCTTGGGCTGCGTTTACCCATTCTGACTCCGGCGGTAAGGATTCCCTTTCAGGTGCTGTGGTATTGGTCAGTATTAGCTATTGTCTCGTGGAGACACAACCCTCTCCCGTCAAAGTGTTACTTGTTCCATGACATCACAGAAGTTATCCAATCAGCTGACAGGGACAGAAGACGGGACTGTCTGTGATTTCGTGTCAGTTCTGGCCCGGAGAGCGGGGCGTGTGTTGACACTCTCTCTCACACAGCTCCACAAAAGCTGCCATTGTACGATCGCGTCGAGGGCCAATCCAGCCGGAGTGTGTCCCCCATGCTGCCACTCCCCGTGGGCCCAGAGTATGACGAGGGTGGGGGTGTCGCTCTGCCTGGGGGGGGTCCATTGAGTTGCACGTTGCCATGCCGACTCTCCCCCACACTTTCCCATCTATACATTGCTCCTGAGAACTTATGTTTCAATGCACCAGTGATTTGCTGCCACATTTTATACAGCACAGAAGTGCAACAACTAGATAAAGGCAGAAGGACCAGCCACTGGTTTAACCAATGAATGCTTGAGCACATATTCAGACATTATATGATTGGCCGGTCAGTGTTCTTGGTGTGCGGCCAATCAGAACACCATAACCAGGGATCCTGTAGCAGTACAAATAATTTGCTATAATTTGGCCGTGTATTGTGTGCTTGATAAGTGTTACCCTTATTTACAAAATTCCCATGGTAAGGGCACCTGAACAGGGGCGGATTCGCCAAGCAAACACACGGAACAGTTAGTCCTATTTTTTAAATCCCCTGGAAATGTGATATGGCTTCCGTATCACGGATAACAGGTTTAGCCAGGTGGTGGGTAAGCCCAGATCATAGGAAGCAATCACAATGCGTGCTCTGTTTCCTGGGTTTGGGCGCATGCAGCGTGGCACTGTCCCACCCGCGGGGTCCTATGAGCCACCACGCCCGCGGGGGACAGCTGGGAGACCCACTCACACGGGGGTGTGTATGTGTGTGTGTGTGTGTGTGTGTGTGTGTGTGTGTGTGTATGTTATGTACCAAATTTCCCCACAATGTGCAATTTTGCTATTTATTTAGGGCTGGGTAGGGGTTAAGGTCGTCATGTTGGGATTAGAGTTTTGCTCCTAGAAATGAATAGAGTCCCCACAAAGATATGAACTTAAACGTGTGTCTGTCTGTGTGTGAAATTGCCCACATCCATGTGTGTCCACAAACCTGCTCACCCCATCCACATTGTGCTGCACGTGTGACCATCGCGGGATCAGGTAACGCTTGTGCGTGATTTGGTCTGATTATTATTGTGTTTTGTGCTTTCGGTCTTTAAACACTCATGTTTCTATGAGGAAGAACTAAGGTTGAATCTAGCAATTTTTAAGGTGGGGGGGGGGGGCATAGGAGAGGCCATAATTCATACAGAGGCACCAAACCTTATCATTAGCCAATAATATGTTTTGAACCAGGATGGGGCTTCCTGAGAGCCAATCAGCTTGCGGCTGGGGCGGGTGCCTGTGAGGCCATGTCCTCCTATAGGCCCCTGTGGAGAGCGTACAGGGTACAGCAAGGGGACCGCAGGGCAGCTCAGGAAGGGGAATTTAGGAGGGCTAAAGGTTGGATCACCTGATCACTACCCCTCCCCCTCACCCAGCCCCCTCCTCATAAAAAGAGTATTTTGTGGGAACCAAGGTTATGTAAGAAAATACAGAGGGCTACACAGACAACATGTAGTTAAGACAGCCTGACTGACACGCCCCCCCCAAAGCCCCCAGGGCAACGCTCAGCCAGAGCCTCCCCAGTGGGGGCGCCATGATGGCGCTCGCGTCCACGGTTCATTCTTCTGCAGACAAGCAGCAAGACCCCGCCCCCCCCCCTTCCGACGCCCCAGTCGCACGTAGCCTGGGAGTCACAGGCTGGGCCCGAAAATGCTGGTCCAGTTCCAGAAAGAGAAAGGATGCACTGTAAGCGGATGGCACCAAGGAAACCGTCACCGCGGGTGAGGAGGTCCCGCAGGCGGCTTTGTGAGGCTCCTCAGCGTCACATTTCCACCCAGAGTCACGCGAAGAGCCGCCCCTCCCAGTCTGCCACGCCCCCGCAGGGGCCCTGACCTGCACACGCACACACCTCACAGAAACTCTTCCAGGTAATGATACTTAAGCTTTTCACTGCAAACCTGCTTCCTAAGTACCTGAAGGCCTGCTTCTTCTCCACAGGCCTGGGCGTGCCCCCCCTCCCCCAACCCTGTGCGGACCAGTCTTCATTATGGGAAGGCCTTCATAGTCAACGACACCAATCACCCTCCTGAAGATCACAGCGTGACCTGCTAGGATACTGGATGATCGAGCTGAACCAGAACCAGCTACTAAAGACATGATACAGCCCCACCCAGGCCGCTCCCCTCCCCCCGGCCCCGGGTGACCCCCTGCTACCCCCAGATGCACAATCACCCTTGACTGGGTTGGTGCTCACATGCAAAACATATCTGAGGCCTTCAGGCTTGGCAGACAGAACCATGTGCCTTTATTTGGGTACGGGGGGGCAGTATAAAAGACAGATATGTGTTCACCTGACCTCCCACGCAACCCTGGGTGTCCATGCCTCTCCTTACACCTGACCCCCTCAGTGCATACAGTCCACCCCCCAGATGCTGTTTACCCTGACCAGTCAGCTTCTCCTTGCGTCATGTTTGTCTTGTTGAGCCCCCCCCCCCCCGATTTACAGCGCAGTCGCTTCCTGGAGACCTGGCTGCGTTCGCACATGCAGACACTGCTTCATGAGCTTTGTTCTCCGCCCCCACCCCCAATGAGGGTCATTCTACAACATGATTGGTCTGATCCGATCGTCGACAAGACAGCACATGCATTGGGCCACGTCTCAGTGCCTGGGGCACCGGTTGTCTCAGCCAGCTCTCACCAGCCCCCCCTGTTAAAGGTGAGCCATCACTGGGGGGTGGGGGGGCATGGCCCACAGGACCTGAAATGACCTCCTAGCGGAGAAGGTTTATTAGCCACCATCAAGGTTTGGGACTCAGGAAGGATGCCCCCCCGCTCCCCATATCCGGGGGGG